TGTTGTAAAATACTATTCATTTATGCTAAGCGATTAATTTTACTTTCTAATTTTCATAATAAACTTATCAATAAACAATTCTGATTGGTACCTTTTATTTTATCAGGTGATAATTTTCTCTTATTTTTACTGAAATGATCCTAGAAAAATCAATGAAATGAATACGAGATTGTTGTGCGAGTCATATGACCAAATCGTTAATCAAAAATTTTAGGTACTTGTTGAAAATATTCAAGAATAAAATAAAATCGAATACCTATGTGGTAAATAAGAATTTGAATGGGAGAGAGCAATTTATTGTTGAACACGAAATTACAGAGTGTCTACCTAAAATATGGAAATTGTACTTTAAATATATGATTTGCACCTCTTCCATAGGTTTTTTCTTCACATGCTTCATGATTCTTTCAATTGTGTTGTCACAATGAATAATTTCTGTTTCCATTTCTGTTCTTTTCAATCGAATTATTTCAATCTTCTTCTGGGATGTATTCCAATTTCCATACTACTTATATCCACTGACACCAAATCCACACTTTTGTTGTTAGACTATCACTTATCTAACCCAAACAAACTGACAATGTTTTGGTGCATTGCTTTCAACTTGGAACATCTCTCTTTCATTTCATTACTTTTATACTTTCTAACTATCTTTCTATATTTAATAAACTGGCTTACTCTTCATACTTGTTCTGATAAAAAGATTGATTCCATAAACTACTGGATAACTGATCATTTATCTAGGGGACTTTTACGTGAACTTCAGACATATAGCTCCCAAAGGAAAGACCTAACAGTCAAAAACTATACATAACTGTAATAGTATATATAGATAATATATTATATAATATGAACATAATAAATTATATGTATGTCTATATATTAAAACAACTCGGTTGGCATTTTTAATCCGAAATTCAAGGTCAAGACCTTATTGTCGACTAAGGTACAGGTTGATGAGCAATCAGATGCCTTAGGGTTCTACAGTACTGTTCTTCAAGGTTCTCCTAACAAAATGATTCTGAAGTCGGTAGGAGAGGAAAAAGACGACTAAGTGAGAAGATATATTTGGAAGAAATTCGAACTTATCGTGATGTATGAATTTAAGCTGGCAATATATATTGGAGGAGAGGCATTCTACGCTATACTGGTTTAATGTGAACGCTGAACTGAGCTCCTTCATTAAGTGTCGTGTTCAGTACAATTGAGATGGTTAATGCCAATGTCAGATGTTCATTTGCCATTGCTATGAGGAAATCTTTAGCGCTACAATATTAAAATACTTTTCTAAGTCAAAAACTTAATAAGACCAACGATGTATAAACTAATTCTTGAAAAAAATTAAAATAATTGTTTCTTAGAATTCATTACTTTTGGTTATTTAAAACAAAACAAGAGAAGTTACATTTTTAACATTAACATACAAACCAACAATTTCAGATGACCCGTATATGCATTTTAAGTTAGTAGCGTGAATTGATGATAAGTGAACCAAATATATATATATATATATATATATATATATATATATATATATATAGCGCAAGGTTCTTTCAAAGTCAGTCCACTTGTCCAATAGATTATTGAATAAAATATCAAAACAATTTCACGAATTTCACATAATATAAATGACCTTGTGTAAAGCGAAAAATGGTATTTTTCATCAAAGGTTATCGTTTATGAACATCCACTAGATACCTCATCTTTTCATCACATAACAATCTTTCTCATGGTATAAACGTAAGAATGAGTGTAATTAGTCTAAGTATTGATGAATAAGGTTCATTAAAGCACTGTTTATAACATATACGTTACATCTATCTTATCAATTATACTTAATTTGAATAGTAATATGAACATTGTCACTAACACAGAAACATGTAGCTGATATTACCAAATCGGAATAAAACCCCAGTAACTGCCGAATATATAATCAAACTTTATTTTCTTCATCTTCTTCATTAGACTTATTATAAAACAGTTCCTAATTCTGATCATTTAAGTAAAACATTGTCATTATTAGATATCTAATTAGCGTATCTGGCATTTAAACAATCTTCACTGTGTAAAACGTCTATAATTGCTTTTAACCACCATTATATAACTGAGATAAATTTCAATTTCAGTAAATAATTTGTCATGACTTTTGTTTAAACGTTTTAACTTGAGTTTGTTCAAGCTTAATAAGATTGTTTGAAATAATTCTCTTCGACTCAAATTATTTTTGTCGACTATTTTCCTACGGTAGATGTTTAATTCCTCTTTGAGAAAACTATAGACAAGTTTTGTTATAAACAAATAGTATATATCAGAAGGGATTTTGTGGCTATTATAGTAGTTTTAGTTGTTGAGATCACGAGTCATTAAGTAAGACATCAACACCGTTGGATGCCGGCTCAGTGGTCTTAAGGTTAAGCGTTCGCGTGCGAGACCGTTAGGTCCTGGGATCGAATCTCGTGAGGCGGGGTCGTGGATGAGCACTGCCAAGGCCGTCCAGTGCTTCTAGGTTTTTCATGGTGGTCTGGCTTCAACTGACTCATGATCTCAACTATTAAAATATTATATACTTAAATTGTTTCAAAAACTTAATAATTGTATTCTGGAGAAAATATTTTTTTATTTTGTTCGTAGAAGATGATTTTAGAAAACTACACAATTGGAAATCACGGAAATAAAGTTACTTCATGAAAATAAAATAAGGAAAACTATTATATTGCGAAGTATTTTTACATCCCTCATCATTTAGTTGTTCAGTTTAGTTACTGTTGTTGTCGGAAAATTTATTCGATAAGTTATTGAGGAGAATGAGGTAGACGTATAAAATGAGAACTGATGGTAACGACTCCTGAAAACAAACTGAATACAGTTCAAAAGAAAAAATCTATTACTGAATAAACTCATTGTAGTATAATATGGAATGAAATATATTATTTGCATATGAAGTAATTAACTGGTAATTTCTTCATGAAAACGATTAACGGCTTTTTGCTTAGCTGATTTCATGTGAAAAAATTGTTAATCACGTAGCTTGATCTTCAGTTTTGTGGTAAGACTGTGAGTTATTTATCAGATAATAAATGATCAAATAAAAGTAACATTTAGGTCATAAAAATAAATTCCAAATATACCCATTTTAACTGTTACTGCCAACGTGTTGATTTTGTTGTATACGTTTTGCTGATAATCCCTTTTTTATTTTGGTAATCATGCTAACTGATTTGATAAGATACTTGAAATGACATGAAGATTTTCTCTCATTGTATTAAGGCTTTGGATAATGACCAAATAGACTTCAGTAAAACAGACTCATTATCTAACAGACAAAATATTTAGATATACATTAATGAAGTACAAATTTTGGGTGTGAGCGAACTTAGAAACTTGTTTACCAGTAAATCGTTCATTAACGAGTCAACAATCAAATATAATAACCTAGATCTTAAAACAATTTGGAATGTCCACTTTAAACTGTCTTCATTATTAGTTTATTTATATGGTTAGGTAGATTTTTTCAGTTCCTTTAGCGTTTGAATTTAGTCTAGTGGTGATCATCTCACAGGAGGTACTTGAAATTACAATATGAGGATTGAGATTTGTACCGACAGTGCACTCATTATGAAGTATCTTACCAAAACTACGATTTTGTGATCAGTGTGTTCTTGCCAGGCAAACTACCGTGGCTTAGGTAGGATGGAAAGACGATTTATCACAACAAACATCTTTCATTCAGTCCTGTGATTGACAAAACTAAATAGTTGTAAAAGATCTTGTTGACTCAATTCACGTTTTTATCCCACACCTTGTAATATACTACGGAGTGAGGCCTGGAAAGGGCTATCATACAGCAAACAAAAGGAACAGCATATATTATTTAGATGTAAGAATGCATTATTTAATAAGGACAAAGTACACAGCTTTTAACTTGTACGTTGACAAGGTGCAATTCAAGATCAGCCTAACTTCTTGAAAAAATCCTATTAGTGAATATTTAATAAACTGTGGCGTGATATTATGACAGAAAGGTGGACAAGAAAGACAAACCATGAATCACGCTGTTATGAGAAAGGAAATGCTGACTCCCTAAGTGAAATTACCACGTTCAATATAGATTGAATAACCGGAGAAGCTAGACATTTCTCTCATTGTGCTAGTGAAGATTTCAAACTGATTCTTTTAAATAAAGAATAAATGGCACGACAACGAAATGAATTTATTGAGGATATAAATAAACAGCATGACAGTTCATGATTCACTTGCAGAATAGTTCTCAAAATTTGTGGTTATAACTTTGTGGAAGGATTTTCGCTAAGAATATCCACTAGTTCATTTATCATAATCATGCCTTCTATATTTATTTGATTAGCAAATAACCTAGTTCATCCAAGTATTATGTAAATAGTATTCAACAAATTAAATAACAATAGGAAGATGAAGTAATTCATGCTTTAAATATTTCAAACTTGTTGCACAATCCATATATTGTGTTTTGTTCGATAAGATCATCTTGTTGAGTCCCATCACAAGAGTTCAAAAATTAGCCTTGATATGAATAACAAAGAACAGAAGGATTGTTTAAATTAAATTTTCATTAATGTTACTTGAAAACATTTTTCATGGCCTAAATTTTACAAGTAGTAAGGAAAATGAATTAATGTATTAGGTTAAATAGACTTTCTGTACAAAATTAAGAAATACATTACGATTCAGATTCAGAAATTATAGACTTATGGTTATTATTGATCATTTTCATATGGATTCATAGACACGGTCGATAAACAATTTAAGGGAGGAGAGAAATTTGTTCAACATTAGCATACATTATGAAAAGTTCTTCTCAATATATATTGCAACTGATACCATAAGACAAGGATAAGTTACTGTTGTCAAAATCTCGATTATCTTCTCTTCATGACTGACCTTCAATTCAGCCAATCATATTTAAGTTAGCTATGATTGGTTGATTTGTTTAATCTGTAATAGTAAAAATGGTAATGCATTTTGATCAAAGATGCACTGGTGTTAATTACGATGGTGAATACCTTAGTGTATAAACTATAAGCAAAACGGGAAGTAAGTCATGGAAAAGTTGATGTTTTTATTACAAACACCGATTTAATTTATTATTTTATATATCAGTATGGACTCTTGCTTAGAATGAGTCACTGGCCTGCATGTAATTTTAACCACGTATGAGATATAATGTCAGATATACTATAGTCATTAAAAGATATTTTTCATCTTATTCACCACACTCAAAACATAACACGTCTTCTGAAGTGTATATGCAGCTTAAAATAGGTCTGTTATTATCAAGTTTAGTGTGAATTGCTAACCTTTATTTTCAAACTAATAACTACTTTGAAACTAAATGACGATTACTAATTTGATTAGGGTTCTATCGTTGTTTCAGTTTGGTTTTTATAACCATGATTCTGGAAGTTATCAGAATTTGGGTTAGGTTTAAATTTTATAAACGCTTATCAACAATCCTTACTGCATTTTCTCTTGACTATCGAACAGCTTGACAGTCAAACAGAAATATTAATAATTTCGTATACTGATAGGTACTAGCATATATGTACGGCTTCATTTACTTTTCCATAACTATGACCAACGGGGTAATCCGTGTCAGGTAGAGACAGGTATCAATCTCAGACAGTGGAAGGTGATCGCACAATTTCATAGATTGGTTGGAGTTAGACATTAACACCGTTGTACGCAGGTGCAGTGATCTAGAGGTTTAGCGTTAGTGCGTGAGACCAAAGGTCTTGGGTTCTAACACAGCCTGCGGGATCGTTGGTGCGCACTGATGAGGAATCGTGTACTAGGACGAGACGGCCGTCCAGTGTTTCCAGGTTTTCAATGGTAGTCTAAAATTCATTGATTCATGATCTCAATCATAAACCTAACAATCTCCACAACCACACACTGATAATGTATTCTAAGCTGTTTTGTTAGGAATATTTAACCAAAATTTTTATTCAAGTTGTTACTTTCAGAGTCTCAAATAAACGAAATCAGTTCAGGAAAATGTTAACATTTACATTGATTTGCTTTATTTAGAATCACTTGTCCATCTTAAAATAGACTGAACTGTATTTAACTGTTGGTTTTACATAGAAACGAGGAATTAGAATTGATCTAATTCAAAGAATTTTTAAATGTGCATAAATCATATATCAACACTTTTCAGATAGTTGAACTATTATTTAGAAAACTACATTTAGAATTAACAGGTTAATCATCAGTTGATAACTTCTGAAATAATTTTGACCTGATTACACTAAATTATTAGAAGTTGATATATATCTAGTATGTTTGAAGTTGAAGTGTTAGTGCTTTTTTAAGCACAAATAAACTGAAGCAACTTTTATTTTGTAAAGTTGGTAGTGTTTCAGTGTTAATGATTTGGCATCTTTATAAGGCATTTTATAAAAATCTGTATTTATTATTTATCATTCATATAAACTTCAATTCACATGTGATTACATCTTAGTAATAAACATAAAGTGGTCACATGTATCTGCGTAATTTGAATTTTCACCAATAAACCATCATTAACATCTTAGCTAATTAAAAACCAGTTTTTTTCTAGATATTTGTTTATGATTGTAACTTTAGGATTTACTCTGCAAAACTATTTAACTTTACTGTTCTTCATAACATTCATTTAAATTTTTCTACTGTTATAATTTGGATGTCCTCACAGTTAGTTGTTTATCAAGCTGCGTGATTTAGAAGTAGATTAGAAAAAACTAATGGTGGTCAAACCATTACTTCATATCAGTTCGTAAGGTCATGCACTGTTGGACCAAGCCGTGTTAATACATACACCCCACATGATATCGACGATCGGTTGTTGAAGACGTTGAGTCACATGGCTAAGAGTTTATCAAAGTGACCCAGGTGTATCTAACCTTCGTCTTTCTCTACATCTTGTTGTTTCAGTTTTCCGTCATACATATAAACTTTCATGTATTCTCTTCTAACTATTTGTTTATTGTTTATTATTTCGGATTATTTATCGCCCTGTTACTGTTTAAGTTTATTGGTCTGTTGATAACCTAAAATATGTTGAGATAAACTAAACTTGTTCCAGTTTTTGTGTTGATTATGATTTAGTTTACGTTTTTTCACTGGTTTCATTAAACTGCATGAACGCAAAATCTTCTAATTGATAAAATATGACCTCACTGTACAGATCCCTATACAGGTAACTGTTTTTGGAAATTTTCTGCATTATTTCAGATCAAATCTTTAAATTGTTTAAAGTTTCACGATAAAAATTATATATAATATATATATAATTTTGTTGTTTGGTTATGTTTTCCTTGAAAAAGCTTGAACCAGATTGCCAGGCGAAACGTTGGATTTACTTCAAATTCTTTCGCTGAGATTTTCCAAATACATTCTTCCTCTTTATTCTAGATTAAAATAATTTAATGTAATAAGGAATTTCTTAAATTGAATTAGAAATTCTAAATGATGGTGGAAATTTTCTCATAATATATATCATGTATGTAGACATGATTAGATAAGGGTTAGTAATTACAGAAAAAAGAAAACTGGGTACGTGTAAACATCGTCAACATCATACGAAATTCACACGACGGACTACAGTACAAAGTCATGAACGGAGAACAGCTGACAGATGCATTCAAATTGAGAACCGGAGTCAGAAAAGGCTGCTGACTCTCCCGTTCCCGTTTTCTTCTGGTGATTGACTGAATTATGAAGACCTCCTTATCTGAAGGGAAGCACGGAATACAATGAACAGCTCAAAATCAATCACATGATTTGGCCTTCGTAGATGACCTGGTCAATCCATCCCATACACACGAACAAATACAGATGAAGACAAGTAGTGTAGCAGCAGTCTCAATACACAAGGGAAAACCAAGGTCCTCAAATACAACACGGAGAATAACAACCCAATCACACTTGATGGCAAAACACTGGAAGATGTTGAATCATTCACGCACCTGGGAAGCACCATCGATGAACAGAGAGGATCTGATACAGATGTGAAGTCAAGGATTGGCAAAACAATAGCTGCATTCCCACAATTGAAGAACATGTGGAACTCAAAACAACTTTCAACCAATATCGAAGTCACAATCTTCAATACCAACGTCAACACGGTTCTACTATACGGAGACGAAAATTGAGAAACTACTACAACCATCATCAAGAAGGTACAATTATTTGTAAATAGTTGTCTACGCAAGATACTGAACATCGATTGACCGGATACCATCAGCAACAGCGTTCTGTGGGAGAGAACGAATCAGCTTCCAGTTAAAGAGAAAATTAGGAGAAGACGATGGAAATGGATAGGAAACACTTTACGGAAATCACCACATTGCATCACGAGGCAAGCACTAACTTGTAATCCTGAAGGTTAGAGGAAAAAAGGAAGGTTGAAGAACACATTTTATTGGGAAATAGAAGCAGATATGAAAAGGATGAATAACAACTGGAAAGAGCTGGAAAGGATTGCCCATTGAAACGTAGAATAACTGGTTAACATGGGTTTGATTCAAAAATACTGTTGTTATATTTTTCAGCTTACAGGAATAACTTAATTCAAAAGTTTCTAAAAAGGATTTTGTTTTTCGAGCATATTCATGAGAATTCTGATCCCAGTGATTTGAAATAGAAATTGAGTTGTCGTAAAATTGAACACCTTTTGAATTAAAATAAACACAGTTTTACTATTGTACATTTTCCCTTTAGTGATTTATTGATTTCTGAGTTTACAATCTGAAAAGATGACTGATATATGTACTGTTTTTTTGCGAACGAATTGTATAAGTGCTAATTTTAAATTCTGAGTGAAAGAGTGAATGTTTGACAGTTTTTAAAAAAGAGGCCAATGAACACACAGTTGATAGTTGATAGTTGGAAACAGACATAAAAAGAATGAATAGCATCTGGAAAGGATTACCCAAACAGGGTTAGACGGAGAGTGCTTGTGGGCGGCCTCCACGAAGCGTAACAGACGTCAGTAAGTATAAAACTATGTAGATGTCCTAATAACTATCCGAAATCATTGGTCCTATTATGTTCGAATCCTAATGGAAAAAGTGTTGTACGGATGCTGATAATAAAGCTATTATTTGATGAAGAAAACCAAGCTACCAAACATCAGAATCACTATTGCTTAGGAAAGTTGTGCTGTACCATATCGTTTAAGTAGCAGTATGTTAGACCTTCGAAGTCATGAGTCCAACTTACAGATCTCAAATATGACGAAATATATTTTGAATTTAACCATTACCTAATGGTAATTGGGATGATCATCATTTTAAGACATCCTACTGACTTAAAAGTGTAAACTATGTTGAAAACAAAATTCCTTTTTTTGACTACTAATTGGATGATTCATGTAAGTAATAATAATTTCCATATGTCGCTAAGACAACTGAAACATTTAGATAACAATGTCCACATTTGAGTGCAAGCAAATTTATCATATTTTAAACCTTTAACAAAAGGCTAGATACTTAAATTCTAAGATTTTCTTGCTCATTCAATCGACTAGCTTGCTCAATACATGGGTTAGTTTCTACAACTAACATTGACAAACATAAGTAATTGTTACGGTAGACTGAATCATATGTGTCACCGTGAAGTAAATCAGACATTTCAGTCTTCCAACTTATAAATATACCGCATGAGTCAGCTAATCACTTAATTTATGTCTGGTCATTAGGCTAGTGCCCGATAGAACTAAATGTTTAATTGATTGAAGTTGCTGTTTTATTTTTCTGACTATTCATTAGGATAACTATGGTTAGAATATTTGTGTATTGCCCTATATATTGTAGTTTTTCTAAAGGGACCATTCAGTAACTGTCCGATCAAAAGTTAATATCTTAAATTGATGATTGTAGGATGAATTTGTCCAAAATGGTATATTAAATTCGCTACTTTACCATGATGCAATCAGTCGTAAATCATATTTGTAGTGATTATCCCATAGTTTTTATTTATAACTATTAGTTTAATGATTTAAAGAAATAAAGTCCCACCCTAAATATTTCACATCGATTTAAACATGAATTTAA